TAGAGCAGAGAAAGTGTGGACTGCTGGAAGAACTGCGGTGAACTGGTGACCAAAAAGTGGCAGCGTGCTCAGAGATGACCCTGCACATTTTGAGTGTGTTTGAGTCAACCTGCTGCTGTGAAGCAGGATTCTCCACCATGAACAGAATCAAAAATAAATCTGGATCCAGGCTCAAAATGAGCTCCTTGATATGTGCTTTAGAATGGCTTAGTCTCCGGTTAAACCCAGGTTTAAAGCCTTGCAGGGCAGCCTAAAGCCCACTGCAAGCCCCACCCCCAGAAAAAAGAACAAATGTTCTATCTTTTTTTTAATATATATATTTTTTTTATTTAAAAAGTCAATGTATAACATGGATGCATAAACACATTTTATTTCAGTGTTAAATTCTGTTTAAAGTAACAGGTTATAATTAAAAATGTCTCCGGACCTTTACTGGTTGATGATTTTCTTTATTCGGACCCTGCTGAGTTTTAATTGGTTACTGTTTTAGATGATAAATATTATGTTGAGTAATTCAGTCATTTGGAACAGAGAAGCTCTGCTCTGCTGCCCAGTAACATGAAAAAGGATAAATATTTGAATCAGGGATAACCTTTCCCATTTGCACTGATTAAAATTAAAACCCAGCATCAGCTGTGCTGTGAACAGCTTCAGTCAGAGAGCACGCTGCCACTTAGTCTTCCTCCCGTTGGATTATTGCTTCATGGATCTTTAGCAGTCATTGATGGGCTGATCAAGGACATTTTAATGAGCTTTTTTAGAAATATTAATGACTATAATAAATTGACTTGATATAGATTTTTTTTTAAACTGAGAGGTTCTGGGATTAAAGAGTAGATCCTGCAGCAGAACAGCTGATTTTGTTTATTTAATAAAGCCAGCTGAGCTTCCACATGTCCAGCAGGCTGAAGCGTCTCTAATTGCGCTTTAGGGGCCCAAAACGAATAAAAATAAAATAAATACAATCCCTAATTATTTGTTTTACAATATATTTAATTTAGCATGGCAATGAAAAATAAATGTTCACATTTTTTGAATATTATTTTATAAAACAGAAGTCATTGTTTCTTGTATTTTCATTGTTTATTTCTAATTGAAAAATGACTGAACTAACCAGACATGGATTTAATCTGTTGGTCTGTTAGGTTTCATCTTAGGAGATATAAAAAAACAAAAAAGTGGCTTTTGGATTTTTGTTTTGGAATACAGAAATTAAAATAGAAAGTTTATCTTTTTTTGTATAAAAAAAAGGGATTAGATCCATCCATTCATTTTTCCATCACGCTTATCCCGAGCGTGGCGGCGAGCGGTGCTGGTGTCTGTCTCCAGCTGTCTACGGGTGAGAAGCGGGGTCCACCTTGGACAGCTCACCCGTCCATCGCAGGGCAACACAGAGACAAACAGGACAAACAACCATTCACTCATTCACACTCACACCTAAGTACAATTTAAAGTTGTCATGTTTTTGGACTGTGGGAGGAAGCCGGAGTACCCAGAGAGAACCCACGCATGCTCAGGGAGAACATGCAAACTCCATGCAGAAAGAGGAACCTTCTTGTTGCAAGGCGCAGAGATGGGAAGTAACGAAGTACAAATACTTTGTTACTGTACTCAAGTAGATTTTTCTGATATTTTTACTTTACTTTACTACTTATTTTTATGGCGACTTTTTACTTCTACTCCTTACATTTTTACACAAATATCTG